CTTACTATTACTTAGATATTTCATATTCATGTATATTTATCAACCTCTTGCATCTGTAGCTGTCTTTTTAATATTTAAAGCAAGCTTTATTCTGTGTTATAAACACAGCTAAGTATTTTATACTATTTTAAGTGAAATGTTCAATAATAAAATAGACATTAAAAAGTAAAAAGGTTTTCTTTCTTTTTTTGGTTTTGTTTTGAATTGAGACAGAGTTTCACTCTTGTTGCCCAGGCTGGAGAGCAATGGCATGATCTTGGCTCACTGCAACTTCTATCTCCTAGGTTCAAGTGATCCTCCTGCCTCAGTCTCCTGAGTAGCTGAGGTGGGACTACAGATGCCCACCACCATGCCCAGCTAATTTTTTTTTTTTTAAGATAGGGTCTCTCTCTGTTGCCTGGCTGGTCTTGAACTCAAGCAATCCCCCCGCCTTGGCCTCCCAAAGTGCTGGGATTACAGGCATGAGTGACAATGCCTGGCCTCTCTCACCTTCATCTTAATCTGCCTAAATAGCACCACATCTTTTTTTTGTTTTTGAGACAGAGTCTCGCTCTGTTGCCCAGGCTGGAGTGCAGTGGTGCCATCTCAGCTCACTGCCACCTCCGCCTCCCAGGTTCAAGCAATTCTCCTGCCTCAGCCTCCCGAGTAGCTGGGATTACAGGTGCCTGCCACCATGCCTGGATAATTTTTTGTATTTTTAGTAGATGCAGGGTTTTACCATCTTGGCCAGGCTGGTCTTGAACTCCTGACCTCGTGATCCACCCGCCTCGGCCTCCCAAAGTGCTGGGATTACAAGCGTGAGCCACCACGCCCAGCTGGAATGCGGTGGTGTGATCTTGGCTCACTGCAACCTCCACCACCCGGGTTCAAGCGATTTCCCTGCCTCAGCCTTCCAAACAGCTGGGACTACAGGCACGCACCACCATGCCCAGCTAATCTTTTGTAAGATTTTAGTAAAAATGGTGTTTCGCCATTTTGGCCAGGATGGTCTCCATCTCCTTACCTTGTGATCCACCCACCTGGGCTTTCCAAAGTGCTGGGATGTTGTATTTTGTATTTTTAGTAGAGATGGGGTTTCATCATGTTGGTCAGGCTCACCTTGAACTCCTGTCCTCAAGTGATCCACCTTACTCGGCCTCCCAAAGTGCTGGGATTATAGAGGTGAGCCAGCTCGCCCAACTCTTTTTTTTCTTACAAAGAGATAGAGTCTCACTATGCCTTAGGCTTGAGTGATCTTCCCAACTCAGCCTCCTGAGTAGCTGGAACTACTGGCAAAAAGTTTTAAGTAAGCCAGTAATAACAACAAAACAAAACAAGGATTTTTGCAAATTATAACCAAGTAAACATTCTTTTGATAATTACTTGCTCTCATTTCTTAGGATTCAAAATATAAATATTAGAAATTCAAAATAAAAATCTTTCTTCTAAAAACGTGTATTTTTTGTTTTTTTTGAGATGGAGTCTCGCTCTGTCACCAGGCTGGTTTGCAGTGGCACAATCTTGGCTCACTGCAACTTCCACCTCCCGGGTTCAAGCGATTCTCCTGCCTCAGCCTCCTGAGTATCTGGGTTACAGACGCGTGCCACCACCCCCAGCTAATTTTTGTATTTTTAGTAGAGACAAGATTTCACCATATTGACCGGGATGGCCTTGATCTCTTGACCTTGTGATCCACCCACCTTAGCCTCCCAAAGTGCTGGGATTACAGGCATGTGCCACAGCGCCTGGCCAAGATTTGTATTTTACTTTTTTAGAGACAGGGACTTGATCTGTTGCCTCGGTTAGAGTGCAGTAGCATGACCATAGCTCACTGCAGCACTGAGCTCCTGGGCTCAAGGGGTCCTCCCACCTCAGCTTTTTGAGTACCTAGGGCTGCATACATGTGCCATCACTCCTGGATAATCTTGTTGTTGTTGAGACGGAGTCTCGCTCTGTCGCCCATGCTGGAGTGCAGTGGCACAATCTCAGCTCACTGCAACCTCCATCTCCCGGGTTCAAGTGATTCTCTTGCCTCAGCCTCCTGAGTAGCTGGGACTACAGACGTGCATCACCACGCCTAGCTAATTTTCTGTATTTTTAGTAGAGATGGGGTTTCTCCATGTTGGTCTCAAACTCCTGACTCAAGTGATCAGCCCGCCTCAGCCACCTAAAGTGCTGGGGTTACAGGCATGAGCCATAGCACTCGGCCCCTCCTGGATAATTTTTTAAAGTTTTTTTTTTTGTAGGGACGAGGTCTCACTATTTTGCCCAAGCTCATCTCAATCTCCTGGCTTCAAGGGATCCTCCTGCCTGGGCCCATCAAAGTGTTGGATTACAGATGTGAGCCACAGCACCTGGCCTAAAGATTTGCATTTTAGATTATATATTCTTTTAGTTGATTATCAGTGGACACCAATTATTTTGCCCCAGATCCCTGTGCCAATTTCCCATAACAATGAGATTTAGTAATTAGAAGGTAACAAAAAGATGTGCTAATCTTTGCTTTATAAATATTGTTTTAAAAGAACAAAGGAATATGACACATTAAATAAATTGCCTCAAAATAATATTAAACTTAATACTGTAGTATCAAAAACTGCAAAAACAGAAGCTCAGCAAAAACCATTAAATGAAATTCTCAGTTTCCTTGAAGGATCTCTAAGGAATATAACACTTGATGTGTTGAATTTGTGTCTGTTGTAATTAAGAGGTATGACCCTTACAATCCCCAAGTGATCCTGAAGTAGTGGGGCAGGGTGGCAGGGAGCACATATGCATGAATATCTACAAAATGAAATTATGGGCATAAAAACTTGGGACCCACATTTCAAATAAAGGGAGAGCAGAATGAGAAGAATGCCTGAGAAAGTATTTGCTTGACAGGAAAAAGCACAGACATTATTAACAAATCTTTACTACACAAGACGACCTTTACTTAATAAAACCAAGAGAATATGATAACTTCACAATTGTTAATAGATATAAGCAGCTTTTGTGACTTTCAGGTAAAAAGGAATTCATTATACCTTTCTTCAGAATTCAGCAGAGGTCTAAATCACTTCAAAAGCCAATCTATCATCTTTTTTTTTTGAGATAGAGTTTCATCTTGTTGCCCAGGCTGGAGTGCAATGGTGCAATCTTGGCTTACTGCAACCTCTGCCTCCCGGGTTCAAGTGATTCTCCTGCCTCAGCCTCCTGAGTAGCTGGGATTACAGGTACCCACCACCATGCCCAGATAATTGTTTGTATTTTTAGTAGAGATGGGGTTTCATCATGTTGGTCAGGCTGGTCTTGAACTCCTGACCTGACCTCAGGTGATCCACCCATCTCAGGTTCCCAAAGTGCTGGGATTACAGGCATGAGCAAATGCCACCATGGCCAGCCTTTTTTTTTTTTTTTTGAGACACAGTCTTGCTATTTTTACCCCAGGCTGGAGTGCAGTGATGCAATCTCAGCTCACTGCAACCTCTGCCTCCTGAGTTCAAGCAATTCTCTTACCTCAGCCTCCCACGTAGCTGGGATTACAGCTGCCTGCCACCATGCCCCGTGAATTTTTATATTTTTGGTAGAGGTGGGGTTTCACCATGTTGGCCAGGCTGGTCTCAAACTCCTGACCTCAGGTGATCCACCTGCCTTGGCCTCCCGAAGTGCTAGGATTTACAGGCATGAACCACTGTGCCCAGCCAAGCCACTCTATCTTTAAAATATTTTATTTAGTTAGTTAGTTATTTTGAGACAGTCTTGCTCTGTTGCCCAGACTGGAGTGCAATGGTGTGATCTCAGCTCACTGCAATCTCTGCCTACTAGGTTCAAGCGATTCTCCCACCTCAGCCTCCCATGCAGCTGGGATTATAGGCATGCGCCACCATGCCTGGCTAATTTTTGTATTTTTAGTAAAAATGGGTTTCACCATGTTGGCCAGGCTGGTCTCAAACTCCTGACCTTCAGTTATCCACCTGGCTTGGCCTCCCAAACTGCTGGGATTACAGGCTTGAGCCACCACACCTGGCCTCTTTAAAATATTCTTAATGATAGCCTTGTAAAACTTCCCAAGGCTTTGTAGTTGAGGTTAGACTGTGGGACAATGTAATGCTACTACCTCTCAAGAAAGCTCCTGCTACTCTGAGAGCCATCTTCAGAATGGAACACCCAAACTAAATAATTATTTTTGTGGCTTAATTTACTCTTAAGAAATTTATTAAGGAATCTGAAAATTAATAAGCTTGAAAGTTTCTCCCCTTTTTATGGTGGCTAATATGAAATGCTCAGCTCTGTGAAGGCAAATCCAACAGAAATATTTTTCTCAAAAGAGAGAAACAGAAACAGTATGAAAAGGTTTGCGGCTGTCTGAAGATGGCCTTTTAAGTATGTCTGCTATAACAAACACATTGACATCCTCATTTTACCTCTCACTTTTCAGTTTTAGCCCCTAATTTCATCAAAATTAATGTGAAAAATATTCTGTACTCACTCTGGCATTCTATGAATTGATGAATAAAAGTGCAGTCCCCGCCACTCTTTGAAAGCAAGTGCTCTAATAAAGAAAGAAACACCTTTAAGGATATAGTTTGTTGCTGTCTTTGAAAACCAACAGCAAAGGTAGGAAAACTGATATGTATAAACCTAGGTACTACTAGACTAATAAAGGCTCAATATATTTTGTTACTAAAAGCAGACATATTTTGGAGTCAAATGACTTAAAATTATTATTAATTTGTACACTGAATGGTTAGCTTTTAAAGGTGCAGTTTTTAATCCAAAGAGCTCAAGAAAATCACACAAATATATTGCTTTAAAATGGTTCCACTTTAATGGTTCTTCCACCTTTTGTCCATTAGAGTTCAAAGAATACCCTTAAATAATTTAACTTTGTCATTATTAAATTAATTTTCAAGTGATTGTTCTATAACACTTCCTCTTCAAAGCTATTCACAGTTAAGAGGCAAAAGGTAAATACTTTAAGAATATCATAATGCCATAAAAATTTTAAGAAACTGATGTAATATTTTAAGATTTACATATTCATTTCACAATATTCCCTTATGAGTCACCTTAATCTGTACCTCATACAGTATTAAAACATTAAATTGTTTATCTCTGCCCAAATGATCAAAATCAGTGTCTATCCATTTCAAAATAAGAGCTTGGTAAATGGTCTTGCCCAAGTCAAACAGAATTTATTTTTCATTTAAAAACATGGATAGAGACAATACAAATCTAACAGAATAGTTAAATTAAAGTTTCAGCCCTTTTCTTATAATAATCTTTATTTGTTGTGATTTAAAGAGTTACTTCTGAATCTGGATAATGTCCTCGACACATATTTATACTTGATCTTAGCCAAAAGGCCGAGAAGCGATCAACATGTATTTATATCGTTCAAAGCTACCAAATCGATTTTGGAAGTTAAAGTGTTAAAAACATATTCTGACATGATGACTACCTGGAAAGTGTGAAAGCACCAGCATCTGTCAAAGGGGACACGAGTTAGCACCACTCTCCCTTTAAAAGCCTCCTTCCCCTCTCCTCCATCTCAAGCCATGTTACTCCTCAATCGTCTCAACTTTGCATGAGAGGCAGACACCACCTACTCTGATCACACCTCACCTCTCTTTACATACTTCCTGTTAGTTATCTTCTTTAATTCTACACTAAAATCTATCATTATGCTTTATGTAGTTACATGGTGAGCAGAGCCTCCTGTCTATCATCACATCACCATCAGTATAAGACAAAAACATGAGGGAAAAGGGTCGATAAAACTTGTGTTTTGGAGAGACCAATGCATTACATACCTAGAATACTATACAGAGATACAATATAGTCTCAAAAAGAAAAAAATACTAACTGCAACAGAAATTTGAAATAAAAAAGAAATCTAATAAATAAGAATTTGATAACTGGAACTAGGAAAAGCAAAACAGGAGCCCTCAGTAGAATAGTAACTGCTCAATAAAAAGTTGTTCTTCATAATCCTATTTTGGCTATGGTAACACTTTCAAAACTCAAACTATATCATCATATTAGATGAATAAACACATTTGGAACCAAATTTTAACTAAAGGACTTTAAAAAACATATTTGAAACACATTTCAGACCAACATCAAAGGACTTAAGATATTTATTAAAAAGGGACAGCCCACCATTACTTACAAAGCTAACAATCACACTTTCATCTGAACTCTATATTAAAATATTTACTAAACTGGTTTAAATGAAACCCAAGATTAATATAAAAAGATAGAGAACCACTGTAGTAAAAATACATTTTATTTATATATATGAGTTTCCTATGGATTTTTATTTATATACCTGTGCTGTCCAATACTATAGCCATTAGCTACTATAGTTACTGAACCCTTCAAATGCAGCTAGTTCTAACTGAGATGTCCTAAATATAAAACAAATGTACAATGATTTAAATGACTTAGTAAGAAAAAAGTAGTATAAAATATTTCATTAATAGTTAATCTATTAATAATTTTAATATTTATTAATATTTACATATTTTAGATACTGTAGACAAAATATATCATTAGAATTTGTTTTATTTGTTTATATATACATTACAGAGATGGGATTTTGCTATGTTGTCTAGGATCAAGTGCAGTAGTTATTCACAGGTGTGACCATGGTGCACTACAGCCACAAACTCCTTGCCTCAAGGGATCTTCACACCTTAGCCTCCCAAGTAACTAGGACAACAGGCATGTACCACTGCACCCAGCTTTGTATATTTTTAATGTATGTGATGGTAATTACTGAGTGTCAACTTGAATGAATTGAAAGATACAAAGCATTAATTCTGGGTATGTCTGTGAGGGTGTTGTCAACGGAGATTAACATTTGAGTCAGTGGGCTGGGAAAGGCAGACTCACCCTTAATCTGGGTAAGCACAATGTAATCAGCTGCCAGTATGGCTGGAATATAAGCAGGCAGAAAAATGTTAAAAGAGAGACTGGCCTACCTCCCAGCCTACATACTTCTCCTATGCTGGATGCTTCCTGTCCTCAAACACTGGACGCCAAGTTCTTCAGTTTTAGAACTTGGGGCTGGCTTTCCTTGTTCCTCAGCCTGCAGGTGGCCTATGTGGGACCTTGTGATTATGTAAATTAATACTTAATGAACTCCCCTGTAATGAGTTAATACTTAATGAACTCCCCTTTATGTGTGTGTGTGTGTGTACACACATGTGTGTGCATGCATGTGTATATATATACACACATATATATACACATATATATACACACACACATATATATATACACATAGACACACACACACACACACACACACATGTATTAAAAATTGAATTCCTGGGCTCAAGAGATCCTCCAGATGTATACCACCACACTTGGTTAATATTTAAATTGTGTGTAGAGACACAGGCCTCACTATGTTGCCCAGGCTGGTCTCAAACTCATGGCCTCAAGCAGTCTTCCCTTCTTAGCCTCCCAAAGTGCTAGGATTATAGGCACATGCCACCACGCCTCACTAATTTTTTTTTTTAAATTTTTTTCTTTTTACAGATGGTATCTCACTGTGTTGCCCAGGTTAGTTTCGAGCTTTTGGGCACAAAAATCCTCCTTCACTGGGATTACAGGCACAAGCTACTTTGCCCAGAAGAAAATTTTAAACTATGTATGTAGATCTCATTATATTTATTTTTTATTTTTTTGAGACAGGCTCTCACTCTGTCACCCAGGCTGAGTACAGCGGTGTGACCACGACTCATTGCAGCCTTGACCTCCTGGGCTCAAGTGATTCTCCCAACTAGCCTCCTGAGGAGCTGGAACTACAGGCGCACACTACTACGCCTGGTTAATTTTTTTTTTTAATAGAGATGAGGTCTCACTATGTTGCTCAGGCTGGTGTTGAACTCCTAGACAAAAGCAATCCTTCTGCCTTGGTCTCTCAAAGGGCTGGGATTATAGGTGTGAGCCACCACACCCAGCCTTATGTTTATTTCAGACAGCACTGCCCTTTACTCTCTAAGACATATTCAAATTATGCTTATTAGATTAAGACACACAAAAAATTTACAGTACAAAACCTGGGCTTTTAGTAGCTACATTATATTTAAGTAATTTTAAAAATGTGATTCACTGAACGTATTATTAATTTTAACTTCTTTAGATATTTAAAAATATTCTCACAACTATAGTTGGCCCTCTCTCTACTATTTAAATAGCAATTTAGTTAAAATTATATAATATGGGTATGGACATTGGTAATATTGGGATACTTGCTAGCTAATTTGTTCATTATTATACTACAAGTGATTCAGAATGGAATTATGTGACCTATCTTATTCCAAAGTCCATTTTTAACTAAGTGTTGGTGTATGTCCAGAAATTTATTACTCAGTTTCTTTTAAAATATTCTATTAGTCACTATCACACCACTCAATATATCACCACCAAAAAGCAAGCACACAAATAAGGGAAAAATAATTATATCAAGGAGTTGCCTTTAAATATCTAAAATATTTATTCTTAAAATCAAGGAGACTTTTAATAATTATATTAATGCAATATGAAAACAGTCTATTATTATTCTCATCTAAATCAATTGGAACTGGAAAAAAACTGAAGTAATAATTTCACAACTCTAAATAGTATAAAGATGGTTCCATGTACATAAAAGGATTCTCTTAACTGAAGGAATGAAGAGAAGGTTCTCAGCCTGGGTTAATACTAACATTATTAATAAATCTAAAATCAAGAGAGTGATAACTAATTGATTTTTTTTTTTTTTTTGAGACAGAGCTTCACTCCATTGCTTAAGTTGGAGTACAGTGGCATGATCTTGGCCCACTGATTGCAACCTCTGCCTCCCAGGTTCTAGGGATTCTCCTGCCTCAGCCTCCTGAGTAGCTGGGATTTCAGGTGTGCGCCACCACGCCTGGCTAATTTTTGTATTTTTTGTAGAGACAGGGTTTCACCAAGTTGTGCAGACCGTGGTGGTCTCAAACTCCTGACCTCAAGTGATCCACCCGCCTCAGCCTTGCAAAGTGCTGGGATTACAGGCACAAGCCACTGCACCTGGCATGAATTTGTTTTTTTTTTTTTTGTTTTTTTACATACAGTATTACATTTCATATCTGCATTCAGGAAAATGGGTGTTATTAAGGAAAATAAAATGACATGTGTTCAGAACTAGGTGGATACCTGGCATGAATTTGTTTTTTTTTTTTTTTTTTTTTTTTTTTTAGACACGGTCTTACTCCCATTGCTCAGGCAGGGGTGCAGTGCCGTGATTTCAGCTCACGGCAGCCTCATCATCCTGGCCTCAAGTGATCCTCCCATCTCTGCTTTCTGAGTAGCTGGGATTACAGGCATGTGCCACCATGCATGGCTATTTTTGTATTTCTTGTAGAGACAATGTTTTGCCATGATGCCCAGGCTGTTCTGGAACTCTTGAGATCAAGTGATCTGCTTGATCCCAATGAATATAAACTACACCTTTAAAAATTCTCAAATTGATATTCCATCAAATTGGAATTTTAAAAAGTCAATGTATTTTACACAATATACATAGAATAGTCAAACACCAATGATTAATGAACATTTTTCTTGAGAGTTTCAAAATTCATTATATATGCAATATGAGGTTTTGACCTTGCAGCTAACTTATACACAATTACCTGAGTCTATACTGCCAGTTCTTGATTAAAAACCAATCAAACAAAACAGAACCAAAAAACCCACCTTACTTTATCAGTATGATTGCTGCTCAAAGACTTATGATATCCCCTGATACATGGAAAAAATATTTCTCTCTCTCTCTCTCTCTCTCTCAGACAGGGTCTCACTCTGTCACCTAGGCTGGAGTGCAGGGCTCAGTTAACCCTCCCACTTCAGCCTCCCAGGTAGTTGGGACTACAAGCACATGCCATAACGCCTGGCTAAGGAAAAAATATTCAAGTTCTGAGTGTCAGCTCTGATATCTACCATTAATTTCTGTAGAAAACTGAGATGATAGGCAAGCAGATTGGTAAACACAGAAAAGACTTTTATTTCTACTGTACTCCAAGCACCTAGTACAGGGTCTGGCACACAGTGCTCAATTAATGTTGGATGGAAGGGGAGAGGAGGAGGATGACTAGGGATCTTCAAGACCGAAGGATAATAGAGGTCACTGGGTAAAAAGTACCCCATGTAGTGACAGGAAAACCAATGGCTATATGTTTTTGGCAAGAGAGTACCCATGCTGTCCTGAATGAAGGGTCACAGAACCAACAACTAATAAAAGATTTTTCTGGTGGCAGAAAAAACTGATCCTGTTCTCTCTGATCAGTGAAACAGATGGATAAAGCAGTTTCTTTCAAAGTGAGATTTGAGTAGGGAAAATAAAAAATAAAAAAAAGTGAAGAATAAAAAGAAAGCAGTTTCTATGACATGTCCAAGGGCTCAATAAGCTGTTAAATAAACTTGAATGTTTTAAATGGGGGTCAAGTATCACTGGAAGCAGAACTTGATGAAACAAAATAGTACCACAGCTCTTTGAAAAACAGAGTGGGGAAAAAGAGCTATATTAAAAATATTGCTAAAGTTGAACTTTATCATTTTCTTATTATTTGAGTAATTGAAATTTGCACATAACAAGAGATATCTAAGAAGAGATCACAGCATCAACTCTTACAAAATAAAGGAAAGCCTGATTTTTAAATGATGGGGTTCAATGATCTGTGAAAGCATGCTTTTCATTCCAAACACTTTAAAGCCTGAACAATTTATCCTGCTTAACTACTAAAATGATATCATAAAAGAAAAATATTTAAGTTTTTTACACTACCTTTTTCTGTGCTCCCATTTATTTTAGGTAAGAAGTCATCAACTTGTATCCCTAGGATTAAGACAGTATATCATTGCCTGATCAAAGAAAGTATTACTTTAAATGTGGTCTCAAGTGTAACCATGGCATTCTGTATTTCTAAGATTAAGATTATAGAGGACACTTTATTTTTACTAGAAGGATTCAATTTGCCATTTTCTATTAATTCTGGGAAAAGGCTATAACTGCTTAGTGGCCTTCCAAAGAACCTTAAAAGAAAAAGGATCCTGCTGTTCATATGCTTTTCTTATTTAAATATCTCTAGGTAGAACATCTCAGATGCAGAAAGTTCACTCATCTCAAGGAAAACGATGATGCCCACTGGTGGCGATCAAGCGTATTTTTAAAGAAAATTTTCTAAAAGAGTACAGATACTTTATACCTAATATGTAAAACACGCCTTAAAATATTCAGTGTGAGACAGCAAACAAGGTCAAAAGTTTAAGGATAAAATTCAGGTTTAAGAAAGAAATTTGGATAACACCTACCTAAGCTGCTGCATTCTTTAAGAGTTTTCTCCTGAAGATGTTCTAACCGTACTGTAAATAAAAGTCCAAAAAAAAAAAGGTATTTCACAGATAAAATGAAAAAGTAAAATAAAATCAATTTCTGGATTAGCTAACTTACCTTGTAAAGCTGTTAGCCTTTCATTGGTGAAATCATTATCAGCTTGCAAAGCTTCTATTTTTGCCTGGAGCTCCTGTTCTTTTTCTTCCATTTCATCTATTTTATGTTGTAATTCTTTTTTCTCAGCCTGTCCTTTCTGTTGGATTTCCTCTTGTTTTCCCTCTGCTACCTAGAGAAATAAGAAAATTCAGTTATTTAATAAACCTAACGTTGTTTTAAGAGCCCTAAGCCAGGAATGCCTTTATTCACTTAAACTTCTAAGAAAAGTGTTCAATATTACAGAACATTATCTGTAAACCTGACATTTCTAAACCAGTAAAGATTATAAAGACAAAGGCTTGATGTCAGAAATTATCTGCATTGGGTTATTCCTCCATAACACCCAGGAGAGAGAAACTTGGGAGGAAGCAAGCAGGCTCAGTACACATAGAGGCGAAAGGACAATGTGGAAAAAAAAATCATACTTTTGAAGAGGGAAGTGAGATTTTTCCCTAAAATTACTATTATTTCCATTTTTAAGTTCTAAAATGTTAACATTCTGAAATTTCAAACAAATTGTTTTTTTTTTTTTTTTTTGAGACGGAGTTTC